GCTTCGAGTAGAGCACTGACACTGGGATATCTTCTTTGAATAGATTACAGAATCGAATTCGGTTCGGGATTCAAAGGTCGCGAAGCAAAAGATGTAGCTTACCAGCCACTTCAACCAATCTTCGAACATGGCGCTGCATTAAGTGAGCGAATCAATCGCATCTGTCATCCTACTCTAACTAACCAACTGATACACTTTACCCTCCAGACATGGCGATCATCACAAGATGTATGTTACCAATTTCTTTGACCTCCCATAACCCTGCCGCACAGTGACTCATTATCCTTTCATTCACAGCCATGTGCGACAGCCTCCACAACAAATGCGGTGTGTCACAGTCATCTCCAGAGGAAAGCCTTTTCAAGGATTGCGTCCTGTTTTCCGACGGCATAAAGAAGGTCGTCAACAATGGCACAATGGCTGATGCATGGAATTTCCTAGTAAGTCGCTTGCATCAGTTGAACACATCAGAAAAATAAACATGAGCTAATATCTCTTTCCTTACCAGTGGGGCTTCAATACCAACTACGCAGCCCAAAAGGCCACTGGTGAAGGCACAGGAGGAAAGGGCGACGGTAAGCCTCAGATTGAGAAATCGGGCAGCAGCACTTCCTCCTCCTCCCCCACTCCTCCTTCTGCCACGCAGCCACCAAACAACAATTCTAATAAGGGAGCTGGCGGTGCGACTCAGAACGGAAACACGAACCAGATGGGAATGGATCAAAACGGAAATATGCAGCAAAACATGAACCAGAATCAGCCTCAGAGCACGGATCCGAACATGAGCCAACAAAACATGAACCAGAATCAGCCTCAAAGCACGGATCCAAACATGAGCATGAACCAGCAGGGCATGAACCCAGCACCCGCAGCCGACACCGGACCTCCAGTCGATCCCAAAGCTATTGTTGATAAACTCTTGGGTCGTCAAATTGATGTGACCAAAATCCCCAACAAAGATTGTCACGGTTTGTCGACGCTTATCTTGACAATTTTGGCTTTGAGTAGAGCACTGACACTGGGATATCTCCTTTGAATAGATTACCGAATTGAATTCGGTTCGGGATTCAAAGGTCGCGAAGCAAAAGATGTAGCTTACCAGCCACTTCAACCAATTTTCGGCCATGGCGCTGCATTAAGTGAGCAAAGCAATCACATCTTCTGTCGTCCTACTCTAACTAACCAACTGTTATGCTTGTCCCTCCAGACATGGCGATCATCACAAGGTGTATGTTACCAATTACTTTGACCTCCCATAACTCTGCCGCCCAATAACTCACTCTCCTTTCATTTACAGCTATGTGCGACAGCC